CCTCAACCTCAACCTCAACCTCATCGCCGTCCACAATGCTGTGTGCGCATGCCTGTGCGTAATAACCCCAGCGACGACTTCGCTCTCCCACCGCGCGCGGCTGCCGCATACCCCGCGAAATGCCGCCCGCCAACTCTCGCAACACCAGCCCGCCCGTGATAGCACCGGTCGCCGTACGTCCTTACGCCCGGAGCAGGACATACGGGGCGCAAGATGCAGATGCTAACCATGTTTCTTGAGTAGGAATCTTCTGGTACTGGCCCAGGAACGCCCCCATCGTATCTGTCAGCTCTCCGCGAGCTAGAGAGCCCCGTCAATCAGGACGTGCTCAACCTCGCAGCAACCCTCACCACACAGGCCGAAGACGACGCCAACGAAGCCAGCCTACGATATCTGCGCGCATCTCAGGAGCACGAAGAGTGGAGGGTCGAACGTTCTCGAGATCGATTACGAGCGCTCGAGCGCCAACGCGACGAACTGGATCACCGAGAAAGGCTGAGGCGGGTCATGAGCCGCCTCAGCAGTATCAACGACCCTCAGGCAGCCTATGGCGACCGCGTTCCCAGCCAGAACAGCCTGTACGACTGGTCTCCCGCCACGAATGAAGACGATGAACACGAGCTGGATGAGATTCTGGCCGAACTTCGCCGTGAACAGCCCCACACACATCCCGAGATCTTGAGGGTACTGGGAAGGTCGCAGTTGGATACAGATCGAGAGGCGCGTATGCGGGCATCGCACTCATCGCGCCTGCTGCATTCCAACCAGCCATCACAGTCGGCCGACAGCTCTTTACGCTCGGCGGCAATCCTCCAATCTGTGCGAAGACATCCCCGATTCTCTGCCCGCACACGCGACTACACGCGAGACTACACTCGAGACTACATGCCGCGCAGTTCAGATCGAGATGCACCAAGCAGGTTGGTTGAAGCTCGAGACCGATTCCACAACGCTTCGGAAAATGTCCGCCAGGCTGCCCTGCAACGCCTCTCGGAGCGGCGAACATCTCTCGACCGAGAACGCGATCGCGACATGTTGGCGAGAGTAGATTCATATCGCCGGAGCTATCTCGATCGCTCGAGTAGTGCACCGCCGGCCATCTCACCCATGCTCGAACAGACAATCAAGTACTTGGCGCGGATACGGTATTCCAACAGTGTGGACGATAGTCTGAACGACGCTCTAGAGGTGGGCTTCTTGACTAAGGACTACTTCTGCGACGCCGACTTCGTTCTCGACACATTCTCTCTGCCTCCTCCGCCTGAGACATCATGGCTAGCGCCCAGTGCTGTCTTGTCTGGGTACCAACATGCCACCAACGTCACCTCGTCCGTCGCGTCCGCAACCCCCGGCGCAAACACGACCCTGTACAGACCCCACAACAACGATTCCATGACATCTGCACTCTTCGAACCACCATCCCGACCATGGCTCAGTCACAGCTACAACCCCCCACATCGACGAAGCGCACACGCTTCGACCCCAGATCCCGTCACCTCTCAGGCCTCACAACAGGATCGATGGCCAGTCAAGGTCACTATCCATGCTGTCGACTATAGCAAAATGTCTCTCTCGGCAACCATGGAAGCGTACAACGTACCTTCACATCCGCATTCGCATCAATCAGTTCTCAGTAGCTCCATCGAAGGGGTACAACCGCCTACGCGAACTTCCTCCATCACGACCTATCTCGAAGGCGAGATCCTAGATTTCAATCAACACACCCTACTCACCGAGTCATTCAAATCGAGCGCCATCAACGATGCCACCTACTGGAGAAAGCTCCCCCCTTTCCAGAAATTTACAGATGAAGAGCTAGTCAGGAGACTCACAAGCCGGAAATGGTTCAACGAGGAGCTGAGTCGAGACTGGATCTTGATGCGCTGGAAAGAGCGATGCTTCGTCAAGTCTCTCAATCGCTCAACAGCCGACCCGGTCCAACCCCCGAGCTCTGCCTTCAACGATCTATCCGTGCGGCCCACCGCAAACACATCTTCCCACTCTACAACCTCATCCCGCGAAAATTATCCCACATCGAATACTAACCACTACTGGCAGCAGGATGGAGAGCACGGAGCCAGCTTCGATGACTCGGGATGCGGGTTGACCATATCGGGCTTCTACTACGTATGTCTTCGACGCAGTGATGGGAAACTCGAGGGATTGTATTACGACCCGCAGAGCAGTCCATATCAGTGCTTGAAGCTGGACAGCACAAAAGGGGGAGTATTTCCCGCTTGGAAGTTCCGGTAGGCATGTAGAGATCTCCTAGACCTCGGTCACGTCTGGTCGGCGTTTCTTATCACATTACTATCTTTCATGCATCTCAGGGCGTTTGTTTCATTGGTCTCAATGGCTGGCGATTTATTCCTCTTGGTTGGGATTGGGTATGGGTTGCAATAACGAGCCGTCGTTGTGTATGATTATTAGATGGTGGCCATTTGGTTGGAATAGCAGAGTAGAAATTACACGCACATTACATATTGCCATGAAGTTTTATTGAATGGTATCCAACCCATGCACGCACATTACATATTGCCATGAGATTTTATTGTACGGTATCCAACCCATATGCACGTTGCCTCCTATGGCTCCTCTGTTGAATCCCGCCCACCAATCTCCACCAGCTTCGACATGCTCCCATCAAACACGTTGTTGCAAATACACACGATCCTCCTCGACTACAGAAGATTCCTCTTCCGAACCCCAAATCCAATCCCGCTAATTCTTTCCATCCAAATCCAAACTTTTTAACCTTGATCTTGCCCCCACTAATTACATAATTATAGATATTAGATAATCTCAAACAACCCAGCCATTTATGTATCCCCCCTCCCCCCCGCCAGGTACCGCATCCGAAAGCCCAACAACCATGCATCCGATGCGGCTCCATGCGCCAATAATTATTATTTACATATGTATATGTACTGACTGCAGTAAGTAGGAAGACCATGACAGCTCATTAAAAAACGTGTGAATTCTTCTCTCTCTCTCTCTCTCTTACACACTGTCATACATTTTTTCTTCTGCTTATTATTACATACACTCGGACCGTTCGGTTTGCTCGCTCGCTCGCCAAAGATGACGTCGTACGCTTCCCAATACCCCCCCTCGGTCCCATTCGACCCCGCCTTCAAGACATTCTTCGAGGATTTCTACCGCATCTCGGATGATCCCGAGGCGCACGAGATATATGCGGATCAGTTCACGCCCGATGCGACGCTGGTTATGGCGTCGAAGCGTGTGCAGGGAAGAGATGGTACGTTTGTTGTACATACCATACATATAATCGACCCCCCCCCCCCCCCCCCCCCAATATTCCCTCACCAACCAACCATCAAACACCCTTAATCCAACATCTTACACTTAATTAATCATTTCCAACCGCCCCCTTCATCCAGAAATTATCGCCGTCCGTAAAGCCATGTGGGAAAAAGTAGCTTCCCGTCTGCACAAGCCGCTGAAGATATTTCCCTACGGTCCGGATTCGGATCAGGTCATGCTTCACGGGTCCGTGGCGTATGGGTTGAAGGATAATAATAATGGTGGTGGTGATGGGGGGGATAATGTTAGTGTCGAGTGGGCGGCTTATGCGCATTTGGTAAAGGGCGGTGATGATGGCGTGGTCAGGATGGATTTTTATCAGGTCTATTTGGATACTGCGGCGCAGAAACGATGATGCGAGCGAGGCCTGAGGTGAATTGTTATTAGAGATTGTATTGCGTGCAGAAGGGAGGGAAGGAGGGAGGGTTGTGAAGTGTAATCTATCGGGAACCTGAGAACAACAATCTTCGCTCGTGTCAATCGATATCGATATCAATATCAATATCAATATCAATATCAATATCAACAGATGAATGATGAATTACTGGCTATGAAACGTCACAGCTTCGGAAACGAACTTGTTGCAAACCCATTGAATCAAGTCTGTCAAAGTGATAGAGCACTACTTTAACCATGGAGAAAAACATTAAAGGTGGGTGGATAGTAACACTTAGTCTACACACACACACACATATATATATATATATACATACATATGATCTCTAATAAGAAACAAACACGCAACTCTCAGGAATTAAACTCTCGTCGTCGTCATCATCATCATCATCATCATCATCATCGTCGTCGTGAGCGTCAGCATCGGCGTCAGCGTCCACGGCATTGAGTTGTTTGTTTGTATGTATGTATGTATGTATGTATGTATGTATGTATGTATGTATGTATGTATGTATGTATGTATGTATGTATGTATGTATGTATGTATGTATGTGTGTTTGAATGTCTATAACAAAACACCAGGTCTCGCGCGAGTGAGGAGATGGCACTGTTCGTTCGTTCGTTCGTTCGTTCATCCGTTCGTTCATCCGTTCGTTCATTTCACCATGCATGCCAAAGCTCTAACTAATTATTGTAATATCAACTACCAAACAAAATTCCCTTTTCGATCGATATGTCTATCAGGAGTAATAAATATCCAAAAGCACGATACTGGAGTCGCGAAAGAAAAAAAAAACTTTAATTGATGGATTGTCCGACCGACCGACCTCCCTCCCGCCGCAAGCACCACGGAAGGAGGAGTGCAACGGCTAGTGATGATTAACAAAAGCATCCAGCCCACGGTTAGTTATCCATGTACATATATATATCATCATCTACATATTATCCCGCATGCAGTCAGTAATTGGTATGGCATGCAACCTCACCTCACCTCAACACACCACACCACACCAAGGGACCAAAAGTCCGATGATACAGTATGAACATGATAAGATAGATCCCTGCCATGCATGTGTCATTATATCAACCAAGAGTTGGAAAGAAAAAAAGAACCCGCGCCCCCCACCCCACCCCACTTCATTGTAACCCAGCCCAACCCAGCCCAGCCCACAACAAACTATTTTTCTTGTTAACAAAAAAAAAAGACAAAGAATAGATAAAAGATTTGTCAGTATATATACGTCGCATTTTCGCAAAGTTTCCATAATTCAAAATGACCAGCCTGGTTAGCTCAATCGGTAGAGCGTGAGACTCTTACGCAACTGTCAGAAGATTGATCCAATCGCGATCTCAAGGTCGCGGGTTCGACCCCCGCATCGGGCTCTGTTATAATTATCTTTTTTTTGATATTTTTTTCTCCTTGGTGTGTGCAATGGATGGAATGGGCATTCTTTTCTTTTCATGAATGATTTGGGTGGCCATAGGAAGTTGATTTGGGGGGTCTTTTTTTTCTTTTTCTGTTTATTAGGCGCTTAGGTTGTTTTTTTTCTTTTTGGGTTGGTCTGCCGACGGAAAGAGTTTCTGCGAAGACGACAATGTTTGAAATTAATTCGCAGGCCTACCTAATGCAAGAAGATCTGATTTAGGCTGGCTTATTGTCACCCTCTCAGATGCATGCTTGACCATAATTGCGTTCCTCGCTCGCCTCAGACCTATCCTATCATGTGCTTATATGGTCTGATTGGAAGATAGATATACACTCAGACTCGAAGCCTACGTAGTAGAAAAGATGGACTTCGACTTTAGAAAACATTAGATTAACAAAAAGCGGCGGCCCCATCGCGACAACAGTGAATCAAGATTTGTACGACTAAGACCACTTGTTCCTACATACGAATACGATTATATGCGCATAAAACCTCTGCCTCCCTTTATTAGACAACATGACCACGGACGCCACTCATGCACGCTTGAAGACGCCAATATCTATACCAGCTACCAAAAAGCCCATCAAGCCAGAAACTCCGCTCCAAGTCTCCATAAAACGTCTGTTACGACTCAAGGTCCAGGATATCCTATCGAGTCTCTGTCATCGTCGATGATTCTTCCATATCTAGAGCTTCGTTAGCAAGCCAGTTCATAGGCTGGGGCGGCGACAGCTTGGTAGAAAACTTACTCCAACAACAGCCTGAAGAACCATGCTTCGAAGTCTACATTTCTGAGAACTTTACCCGCCCACTCTGAACTCTGTTCCGCAATCTCCCGCGCCTTCTTCTCTCCAATTGAATCTCCATTCCCTCCCTTATTGTCATCCACTTTCTTGCCATCCTTTACGGGAAACCGCGACTCATCGACAGGCTGCCCGCCGCCACCAAACCATCGCACGAGGTCGAGATGTTCGTCGCCGATCAGTGATATTGGAACGTAATGCACCCACGGCCGCAGCCACTCCTGATGCCATTCCCTGAACAATGCCATCTTATACGTCAGACTCCTGCTTCGTAGGAAGGCATAGAAGCGGCCCGAGAATGCGTTTCCGTCCATGTCGAGAAGATGCTTGTACCACCACGCGTCCTGTCCATCAACGCGCTCTACAATATCGAAAAATTCCTTCTGCGCAGCGCAGTCGCCAGGATCGCATTGACCAATGTGACTGAACTTGACATCGACCATCTTGTCGATGTCATTCCGATCCACTTCTTCGACCTCGAATAGTGGGCTAGTTTCGTCGGCTTTGTTGACCAGCACCTTCACGTTTTTGTGGGCGTTCAGGCGTTTGACAATGCGTTGCCGATGATGCTTCCGCCATCCACCATTGCGGCTGAAACCGCCCGTCGTGGAGCCACGCCAATAGAGACTATTTGTCTTGTTTGCCCACGTTGTGTCATGATCATCGTCGTATCCGACTTTTCCAAACCAATACCATGGACTTGGATAGAGGATATCTTGAAAACTGGATACCTTGGATTGGGAAAATACTGGCGTCAGCTCGTAGATGATGCTAAACGCATTGGGCCTTTCGAAGAATCCGAAGCTCGTGCCGAGGGAAGGCGAATTGCAGATGTCAGAAAAGGCGGTCTGGTTGTAAACATAATTCAGAGGCCCTGTAGCATACGAGGTTAGATTGTCGGCAGCGTCGTCCTCAAAAACACGCGCTTGGCTACCAACGGGGCACGATAGCCGCGCATGCGTCCAGGTCTGTTGGTGAGCGAACCTGTTGAATAGAGTCGTCTTAGCTTCTTCAAAGCGTTTGCCGTCGTTCATGTCCGATGGACGTGAAGAGAAAGAGTTGCGCGGAGATTTAGTCTTCATCGCTGCCGGTATGGCCTCAGCTTGGGCTTTCGCTACTAGTGCGGATAGCTGATCGTTAGGCACCACAACGCGGGGCTCGTCGTGGATGTTAAACGCGAGATCCATATCTGGCAGATACTGGACGAAAGCCTTCATCATCCCGGCCGTAGCTTGTTGTTGCCATTCTTGTCCACCTTCGATTTTCACTACGTTTCCGTCTCGTATCATGATTCCAACCATCGCATTGTCGTTGTGGCCTAGTACGTGCTTTACCCGGTTCCGAATGGATAATGGTTTGATGGCCCAAAACGGTAACAGAGAGTGAGTGATGGTGTCAAATTCGTCAATAAGCTGGACGGTGTTCCTTGTCGCAAACTCGTACCACTTATCGAAATGTGGCGGCGGAGGAATGCCATTTCGGCGGCGGTATTCCTGGGTTGCGTCTTCCAAAGACTTGGATTGCTTCTTGAGCAAGCTTTGGAAATCCTTTCCCGCCGCTTCAATAAGCTGCTGCGCAGGATGTCCTTTTGCCAAATCGATTGGGGTCGAAGCGAGTGGTATCTCAGGAGAAAGTGGATCAAATGGCAACACATTCTTAGCTGTGAAGGAATAGTATTGTGATCCTGACGCACGTCGGATGAATAGAAAACCGACTGATAGAATCGTAACCAGGAAGATGATCCGTCTAACCCGCATTGAAGCCCGGCTGTCTAGACTTGGGGCAGAGGGCGAAGAATTGTACAAGAACAGAAGGCCAGTTGATGCAAATATGACGGTGAACCATATGCTTGAGAAAGAAGAACTCATATGTAATCGGGCGCAGATGAAGGAGAACACAGTTAAGAACGATGTACGTACAGCGCCCTGTTGAGAGAGCTATGGGTTGCAAAGTCAGTATATCTAAGAATGCGAATGACTGAATAATTGGATGAGGTGGGTGAGATTTGTAGGGTAGATTGGATATGTAGACTACGAAAACACCGCTTTCTCGATCCAGCTTCTCGAAAGCAGAGGGGGCTAGGTTCAGGAAATGATAGGACTCGCGTATTCCGCCGATACCAACCGGTGATTTTGAAGAAGCAAGGAAAAAAAGAAAGACTTACCATGAAGAACATTAACGTATTAGCCAAGACATTTACACATATCATCAGCAAGACTTGCTGCACAGTCCTGTGGTAATGCATCGACTTCCAGTCTCCGCGGAGTTCGCGATAAACAGGCTCCCAAGTCATAGCGTTCGACTTGATAACGGGTTCCATGAAATACGTAGCAGCTCCGCAGATTACTGCCATGACAGCTGCTACGTCCCTCAACGAGGCTAATTGTTGCTCCTTCTGAGCCCCTTCCATCGAAGTACGACGTGAGAAGGTGCCATTGGCGGACATGAGCCCCCTACCTCCAGTATTGGTGTCATCCTTGGTGGTCTTCAACGCCCTCTCCAAGAGCACGAGGCCAGCCGCGGTGAATATCACGCTACTGAGGCCCAAGACAGAGGTCGGGTCTGTAGTATATCGAGTTGAGAGCGCCACGGCTGCAGAAACGGTAACGACGGCAAGGATACGAAAGAAGCCTGGGCGTGAACTCTCTTCGGTGCTGGAACTGCTCTCGATCGGAGAATCGTCAGGGTCGGGGGAGAAGTAGGAGGGGAGGGTGGTGTGTTTCAACCAGAGACCGTTTTCCGTGGCGAGCACGACAAAAAGTGACAAGACTCCCTAGAACGATATAAGCCAAGTCTATTGCATTCAATTGTACGAGCTACCTTGGTGGACCAAACGCCCTCTTTGTCGCATGCGACTCGGTCGCATACTTGGGATAAGGCCAGGAAGCCGCCCGCAAGCCAGCTCGTTGTCTTCCTACTTCTGCTCCCGCTGTTTGACCACACCCCCGCACGAAATATAACCAGCACCCATATCAACGCCCACGAGACGGCGGCTACCAGGAGCGAGTGCTGCACGGGACTGTGGACATGGGCGGCGGTCGCGAGGAAGAGGAGGAGCACCGGAACGAAGAGGTGCTGGTGGGTGAGGGCAGTTTCTACGGCCGGGTGCATTGGAGCAGAGATGGGCGCTCAGCGGACGTCACGGGACATGTCCAGTGGTAGGGACTTGGAGATGGGGGAAGCCGTGTGGGTTGCCGTTCACTGCGACCAGGAGCATCTTCTAGAGGATGCGATGTTGACAAGGCCTTGGCGCGCTAGTAACGTGCGACAAGCTTCTTCGGACTTTATTCGTTTATGCACCCATCAACACTCACGGTTGTGACGGATCATGACTGTTAGTGTCCTCGAGCAAATCTGTCTTTTCCGCGACGCGTCTTTGCAGACCTCACGCGAGTACACATACTGCGTCTCGGTATGACCGATTTTTTCGCCGACGTTCTAGTTACATCCAATCACTCCTCCCACCTGCAAAGCAACGCTGAGCCGAGCACTTCTGATCACTTGCCTGGTTGCTGGCATTCGTGCCTGGAAGCAACAAGGGGCTGCAGCAATCTGAACCCCAGACCCCTACAGCGTCGTGACACGTAACATTTACAATTGAATCTTGAATATAGCTCCATCGTATTCTCAAGAGGAAGATTGTGAGGAAGAAGAGTCTGTCAGGAGGTACATCCGCGGACGTCCGAAAAGTGGTCGAGGTCCCTCCAAAGCCAACGCTCAAATGTGCAAATCAACGCTCCAAGGATATTATGAATTGGTGTGAGGGTACCAACACAATCCCAATGATCCGTTATGAGCGACCAGGTTCTTGGATCTTGTTCGAAACTGACCACCATGGAAGGCTGAAGCCCACCGGTATCTCTACCTGGGGGTAGAGTCACTAAAGATTAGGAGATGAGGTCAGTATAGAACTCAAACGTGCCGAATTCTCGAGGGTAATGCACGTCTTAAAACACGTACCGCTGAGAGATTGGTGGATGTGGCAGACTGGGATATCAGGCTTGTGTTGCATGACGCAATTTTTGTCATTGAGGGCTGTCTGTTCAACAATACTGGCGATTGTATCGATCAAGAGCAGGCGAATAGCATCATTATCGCCCCAGTATGAATGGCCAACTTTAACCGTCATGAGCATTCGATCGTCCCACTGCCA